CAGCTGATGAGAGTTTCATGCTCAAATAACTTCAAGAGTTTGTGCGCATTAAATATGTGTTTTCACACTAATGTACTTGGTGTGAATCTCTTGAAAAGAAGGACTTTTGTTTTCAGAAAATGATACACGTGTGTGTAGGCTTAATTAAAAGCAAAACCAAGTGAACAAAACAGTATATTATACATAAACAAGGCATCAGCATAATTTACCACAACCAACATTATCATAAAAATACTTATTAAAAGTTATGCAGAGTGCTCCAAAAACTCATTTTTGTACTTTCCCGGTAATTTGTGTGCTCCACTTGTGTTCGAGATTTTAAGTTACAGTGTTAACAATTTAATTTAAAATTTAAAAAAAACAACAACAATACATTGTATTATGGTTGCTAGTTCCCGAACATGTGTACCTAGCTAGACATTCTAGTTATGAATCAATAGCTCATCTTATTGTTTGAGATTCGCAACATTACGTAATTCGGGTAGGTACATTTCATCAAATGTGATTCACATGACGGAACGTTTGTAAGTTCGTTTGAAGCAAAAACGTGGATATATTCAAAATTTGTCGATTACCTGAATGTTCTTTATAGCTGTACTTAGTTACGAAGTATTCAAACATGATGCCATGCGTGATGTTTCCGAGAAACAATCACATTTTTTACACATCTATAATTTGAATGAAAATAACACAATTGTATATTGCATCAATAAAATATTTATTAATCATTAATACACGTTGGGTAGAATAATTACATCATATCCACGTATCCATTGGACAGCTCGTCTTTAGTTAGTAACCATGCTGTAATGTAAACAATATACAGAACAGTTAAACGCATCGGCAGAGTAATAAGCACCGTGTAGTACACGTGTAAATTCACAATACAACATACGACAGTATAGCACAACGTACCAGGGGTGAAACAAGATGGAGATAGGGGGTCTTTTCAGGTTAGAGGGGAGGTGTCGCCAAATACATGCAACTACATTCATACCTTGGTAGCTGTAAGTTCCATACCTATAATTATACCAATGAGTGTTCATAAATGTCGGATTTATATCAAACGCAAATTTTTATATAAAAACATTTCGAATAAAATGATTACAATATATACTTCCATATCATGCGAAATGCATACGCAATACATGCAAAATATTGTATATGATATTAAATAACTCGATATTTTTGCAGCCAAAACAGATAAAATGTTTTTGAAAGAATCCAAAGCGACATCCTATCCACTGCACCACAGAGAAATTCAACGGTTCAGATATTATAACTTAAATTCACGCTACACAAATATACGATATTGCCCGGTGAACCGACAAAATATTTCCAACACATGAAGATGTTGACAAACGATATTTAAGGTGAAAAATGGACTTTGTTGTTTGGTACTCCATACTTTTGAAAACAAAAATCTTAAATTGATAAGACATCAACAATGTGAGCAATTGAATGATTTGGTAAAACAAAACCTAATTATGATCCGACCTATACCTAGTGCTAATATCATGATAGATAATGGAACGCTTATAGTAAACAATCACGGATTTCAGTTTCTACGCAGTATGCACTATTAAATCAAACTGACGAGCTTACCGTGACGTCATAGTGTAGATTATTCAAGGTCAAATTCACAAACATAATAACGCCATACATTACAATAACTGGCTTCCCACTTAGAAAAAGATGACGGAAATCCATTTCCTCTGTGACATGTAGAAATATCACATAGATTAAAACAAATGATTGTAGTTTATATCACACTGTTGTATTTGACATTATAAATTCAATCTATTATTCAATTCGCAATCAGTAACAGGGTTATTTTGTTTCATTCCAAATTCCCTGAAAACAAGCTATTTCAACATGGTGGCAAATACAATCTATATATCTAATATTGCTCCTAAAATAATAAGTTTACCAAACTTTTCCTCATAATTGAGTTTTGGAGTTTTAGCTAAAAACACAGTAGCGAAACCAACTCATAAATATATTCAGGAAGTTTCTGTTTCAATCCAGGCTCTAAGCACGTTATCAAAGTGCATCAAAGAGTCTCTCCAATGATAAATTAGCATGACGTTAATTCAATTGCTGTTTCATGCAATAATTACCTGATATACGCGCAAGGATATCCGATCCAAGGATTACTTGAAAAGTTATTATAAGTCAGTCTCGTTCCATCTAGGTTTGTGAATACACTCCCGGGTGCTTCTCTCTTAATACCAATCCAATATCCACCTGATAATAATAGATACATAATGAATGTAGAAACACTGTTTGGCGAATTGTTTTTATATTGATTTTGAAATTGTTAATGTTTTTATAATGAAATAAGTATTTATAGTTAATATATGACTATATTTAACCAGCATATTTCAATTGTCTATAAGCGACGTTTTGATTGGTCAAACGCGTGTTTTCATATATGCTAGCCAATGACAAATATACGTATACATTGGGGTTTCATGATTAGAAGTAGAAACTAAACGTGAATAATAAATATATTATTGGACAGTTGTATACTAAAACTTCTTGGCAATGGCAACAATGATATACATACGATATGTCCAATCCGATAGCCCGATTTTGTTTGCGATATCTTCCTGGTCATCTGCGCTAGGAACGGATGCGAGATCGCCGCCTCTTTCGTGACACCGCCCTCTGGCTGTTTCCCAGTCAGTTGCATCATGGTAGACACGGTACCTGCCCGTCTGCCCCTCGTCGTTATAGTCTTGCTCATCGTCTGGTTCAGCGAGAAACTCGCACACAAAAGCCTGACGAGATGAACAAGAGACAGTTCTCCAGTAGTAAGGCCAATAAACTCCTTTCTTCGTCCTGTAAAATAACGAAAAAATGATTTCAGTCTGTGCATCCTACACCAGGCTGGTTGTTTATTATATCTCACTGCGGACTGGCGAGATTTCACAGGATGCACTGTTGTGTTCACGATGTTAGTAATATGCACTGCGCCTAAAAACACAACTCGCTCTACACTCATTCTACGTGTCTTCTGAATCATGATTCTAATATCGCCTTTTCCGATCATTTTCATCTGCTTGATCAATTTGAGATGTAATGCCACCAATGTATGTCTCATAGTTTAACGTTTGTCTACAGCAATATTTATCCTTGAGCTAATAAACAGTCGGTTAAATTTGTGTTCCGGTTATCAAAAAGTAAACCATCAATATATTTATGAATTAGTGAAAAATTACCCTAGATCTGTCTCAGGCGACATAAAATTTCGCCCGCTGTCAAATTATAACTTCAAACAGTTTGGCATTGTATTGGCCTTAAACACGTCTAAAAATTAAAATCGAGTATTCAGTCTGTGACCAGAAGGAATTTAAAGTTGTTCATCAAAATCCATATCGTTCTACGCATCAGGCAAATAAAATTAATCTTATTTACCAAACGGATGTACATTCGTAATGTTGTGGCTCAGAGAATATCCCCACCGACGGCCAGACTAGGTATGTCTGTTCATCTCCGTTCAAATCTTTGAAGACGCCCCCAGCGCCTCGACGTACCCCAATCCAGAAAAAGTCTTGTAACAAAAAAACATATTAATGTAAATTCCGATGTTGCTATTATTAAACCAAACATTTGAGATATACCATGCATATTGAGATCCAACTTCTGGAATGGATACATGGGTACAGAAATGAAGACACTCCATAACATCTGTCAGTGTCTCAATACATGTTGTGTGCATTCGGCATAAGTACAACTTATCTTCTAAATACAGTTATCAGAAGGTGGCTAGTCTGAAACCGTGCGAGAAACAGATGCATATACGAGGGTTATAGGTTATGAAGACACTTACCAGACACCGTGTAAATGCCATCTTCAAGAAGTACCGGTACCAACTGTGCATATGCAGCTTCATCGGGGACCGAGGCAAGGTCTCCACCATTTTCGATGCAAAATGACCTAGCTGAATTCCAACTTTTAGGTTCTAAATAAGCCTTGTAATATCTCTCTTCGGGCACCACGGTGTCTCGTTCTTATTTGTCAATAAAACCAGAACGTATTCGTACATAAAGTAGGCATATGTCGGAGACGCATGGTGATAATGTATAGACAGAAATCGACAAAAATTAATAGACAGGCATATTACAGTGTGAAGACAAATACGTAGTCTTACCGTCGACGTCATATTGACAGGCAATTGTCAATCTGTCATTACAAGGTCGATTCCTCCATTTTCCAAACGATGGAAGCCAAGCAGCTGCAATGCCACCCACGCTGCGAAATGTATAAATTACCCACTGTAAAATACGTCTTTTTAGCTAGCATGTCATTTTTGCTAATTTAGCTAACCTGTAATTTCGCTAATTCAAGATGTCGCTAATTTAGAATAAAGTGTATTCTCGCAATGAGATTGTTGGCATTTTAGCTAAATTAAGATTTTGTTTATTTATGTGTTGAGTCAAACTCGCAAAAATGGCAAGTAGCTATTTCAAAGTGTTTTACAGTGTATCCACAAAATGTGTTGTAGAATAAGTTGATGTTTATTTCAATGCTGGAACAGCAATACTATGGTAGCGAAATATCAACTCAAAAGTAATTCCGAGCTCTATCATTTTACAATGAGTATATTCTATCGAATCATCGCATTTTCTGTGTACCTTGGAAATGAGAAGTATACTAGTATCCTGAATGTGTACCTCGTGTTTCTATCTCTATGACCAGTATATTTGTATGTTTGACGGAGTGACGTCATTCTATAATATATACCACATTTACTATACATAACCACGAGGCAATCTCACCCAGTATATGGCAATATCGAATCATTGCGCGTGATAATCTGAAGCGATTATACAAAACTTAAAATTTATAAAATATGCTATTTACAATATCCAAACGCAGTCATCGTCTTCGCTATCAGGATAGCCATCGTCCCAGTTAGTATACGTCAGCGGAGACCCATCTGCATTTGCCCATGTTCTATCCAGCATTCGATGAATTCCAGTGAAATATCCAACTTTGAAACAATAGAAATTAGTTAATGAATTAAATGTGTTTACTCCTATTGTAGATGTGTACAGTGCGTAATCTTGACTCAGACGTACGCAAAACTTTACAGTGGTTTTTGGTGATCCATTACAATTAAGTCATAAATCAAATAAATCCTCGTTTTTGAAATATTTGTATTTATCCGGGTTCGATTTTCCTGAATTTATTTCCCGGGATGTTTTCATGACAACATAATACCAAACAGTTTCATTGTCATGATTTTCTGACATGCAGTCGTAAAACAGATTTGCTATACTTCGAATCTCACTAGTGTGCTTGGATGTCTTAATAATAGGCGCACATATACAATGTTGATGACCACGTGGTAAATGTATGGATAGTTTGTGAAAATTAGTTACCCGCGCATCTATCATGTGATAGAAGGAATGAGTTGACTTATTGATTACTATAGCTTATAATACTGACATTTTATTCCTATAGTACAACTTCCTTCAATTACATTATAAGTCAATTTATTTTAAAAAAAGATACAGAATTAACTGTATGCCTAATTTATTTAGTATAGGTCTACTATTGAATTTTCATAAGCAACAGTTGCAACGTTTCGATATTCAATCTCGGTTTAGTGTAACAATATTATTCCGCACTCCGATCCTCTCAATTAACGGAAAACCTTTAATTAAACGCAAAAAAACAACGATGGTGTCGTCAAAACACAACGCAGAATCTCACCGATGTCAAACCAAATGCTTCATTGACTTTTAAACTGAATAATATCATATTATTTGCGTAAACGCAAACCTCACCAAATGCTAATTATATGTTCTGACGTTATACGATTATCAAATATTATTCGTAGACCCGGTTGATACGAGTTACACCAGGTTCTAATAACCTCGTTCCCACGGTATCGTTCTTTTACCCATGATTCTTAGAATAATGCAAATCATTTACTGCAACAACACTGAGCAGCGATCGTTGAGTCGTCGAAGATACCTACCAGTTCGAACATGTTCCGTGTCAGTCAGAATTTTAATTTCTAGGTCTCGCTGGGCCTCTGCATTTGGAATGGATACACTGTATCCTCCGTGTTCCGCACATTTAGATATTGTTGTATCCCAATCGTAGCTACCCCAGTGTGCCCAGTATGTCGATTTCACTTCTTCCTCTGTGAATAAATTTAAAAAATATACTATAATTGGTAGTTAATATTATAATACTGTGTGAAATTAATTTGAAAATCAGGGCAACACTTACCAATTATATAGTTATTATTAAAGAGCGGCGGTCGTCGCGCAGAGCATCTTCGAATTTAAAGCAAATAAACATTGTATTTGTGTAGCGCTGTGTCCTTCGCTATGAGTCGTAGTCGTATATCAAACAGAACGCGATGTAACGACCACCGCCCTTTAAATAGGAGCAACTCGTCATCAAATGTGTTTCGAAACTATTTTCACTTATCTGAATGGTGAAATCTCAATGACTAACAAATGCCGACCTCTCCTAATATATCTGACTAGTCCGTATGTCAAAGGCTATCCATCTTAAGAATTTACAACATTTCATAACATGTTCATAACTGTACATATCCAGGTATTATTCAAAATAGAGAATTATCCGGTCGTCAAAAAAGTAAACCCTTCTGAACAATCACAACAATCGGTCCTTCCAGCTGACGGAGAGATAAACCACTCCCGGCAAAAAAATGGTCTGCGTAGTGAAGAAAATAATAATTTACCTGGCTCAGTCGTTACAGGTGGAATCACTGTTGGTATACCCTCTGAATTAAAAAACAAAACAAAACAAAACAGAAATGTGTTTATGGATAATAAAAATTGACACGCCCAAAATTTGCTTTGTTGAACTTCAATTCATTCAATTGACAATATGCATCTATGGAATATGATACAATCACAAAATTGAATTAAATTTCACAATGTTATACTGCGACAAAAAATATGGAATCACCGTATTCGCAAACATAAGGTCCTTCCAAAGTACATCTGTTATTGAACCACCTTCCAAAAAGTGACAGTCGGGATGTGCTGTCGGATAAAAAAAAAACAGCACAAAATATATACTTATATATACATATAAGATTAAGTGCCTTTGTATAATTATCGAACCAATAATACACTGCGTTATTTAGTTTGAAAAAAAATGCAATACATACTAGACCGCTACACAGAGACGGTCACTGCTGTCAACAGGATTATGGGCAGCCCAATTTGTATATGTTTGCTCAGTAACATTCAGACTCCTGTATCCGTTCTCTTCAGCGAGTCGTCGCACTCCAACCCAGAATGCATCTGCAATGCATGTGTCACAGATGAACATTAGTACGAATTACAATTCCTTATAACATATGCTATTAATATCAATAACATCATAGCAGTCATATGCATTGTGGATGTGTAATTCATTTCTAGAATGAAGTTTGCAAACACGTATGACGTGCGGTACATATCAGGGTGTTAGTGAGTTCAGACCTCGTTACTTCAGAAAATTAGCAAATCTGAAAAGCAGTTTCAGTATAAAATGAGATCCAATTGGGAAATTATCCAATTACATACGTTCCTCCGTGTGATCTCCAGCACTGACAATTTCCTCCATCACTTTCTGATGAGCACTAATGTCTGGTAGCGATGCCAACTCCCCACCGTCCTCCACGCACGCATCTTTTGCGTCCTGCCAATTCAGATCTATGTAGAAAGCCCGGTATATCCTTTGCCTGTCTAAATCCAGAAATTTAAAGGGTTCATTAAAATATCTCATGGTAATACTCTGCTGCCAAATATTGTGAAAACATTGAAATCAATTAGTGTGTCCAGGAAAGACAAAAAGAGAAATGTACCTGGTACACTTTCAGGTAGGACAGCTTCCTGTGGCGCCGCAGACGTAATAACTGAAAAACAATGAAAAAGCATACAAAAGAATTATGTAATATTTAAATAATATGATTATGTAAATTACGGACGTTCACAGCAACAACTCCCTCTAACCAAAATACATATGAAGGACGTAATTAAAAAGTAGTCATAACTACTGGTACAATTTGTGAAATGAACACGTAAATATACTTCATTCGAAAAAAAAAAGATATTCTATTTTGAGGATAAATACACATTTTTTCAAGTTGTCCTTGAAATAACCCCAGCTAAATTGTCTTCTAAGTCAATCAATGAATCGAAATATATATAAATCGATAGAAAAATCTCAAAACATATATACAAGTTCACTGAACCTGCGCACATGGAATATTTGTCATAGGTAACACATGCAACTGCATGTAACTGCATCACACACACTGTTTAATTAGTCGATATGTTATAATACTTACGTTGTTCCGTTGTCGGTGATACGGCTTGTTACGTGTGAAAGAATAAAGATACATAATGTTTCATTTACGATAACTGAAATTGAAACTAGAAATCATAGGCCAATATCGATATTATTAGTTTAACTATCGATTATATTCACAACAAATGACTTTCAAATCACATATACAACAACGTGAGAAAATGTTGAATAACGGAAACAATATTATGTTGCATCAATATTTTTTTCAGAGCATAAACTTACCAGTATATTCACAAATGAAGGATTTAAGCTTCCAACAATAGTCATCGTCGAAATTCCATACTGAGTTTTTGGCCGGACGGTTCCTGGATGATAAATATAACATCAAATACAATTGTGATTGCACGCAAATTGAAAAAGAATATATTTATCGCAGTAATAACGTTTGTATTATTAAGAGTGCCGTATGGTAATGATTGTAGAAATTAACGAACATTTTTTTTATTACAGGATATTCAAGATTTTTTTTAAGCTTACGGAATACGATAACAAACGGAATATATCGTCCTCTTGATAATTTGTGAAATTATTGTCCAACGAATCACAAGTTTATAAAACAAATCAAATTGTAATTCTCTGGGAATCTGGACAAAATCGACAAAAAGGAAACGCGCGCGACTGTGCGCGTACAATGATAGATAACGTAAAGATGACCTCAGATGCTGATCAAAGTTACGGAAGTAGCTGCCGCAACAAACATAAACATATATCGGTGACGTTCAACATTATATACTATGTTTTATGATATGGGGTCTGAAGTAACACCTGTCTATACTGTGTTTGAAATAAGCATGTTATAAATGCAAAATGTGTAATGAATGATTCTACTCCGGAAGTACTATGACACCGAAATGAGAATGTATATCATTCCATCTATTATTACATTGCTACGATGTTATCAATTATACAGCGCGAATTGTACGTGATGAAAGCTTACCATAGCTGGACACAATCCTGTCCATTGATATCCTGTTTAACCGTATTGCTTGGTTGTGTTATTATCCTCCTTCCACGTTTCTCAGAATGCCACCCATCGGCATAGGTTAAAGGAGTACCGTCGATCAGCTGAAATACGCCCTCCTCCTCTATGTCATTCGTACCAGTCCAGTAACCATTGCCACCGGGATTCTCTATATTTGGATGTGAGTTGATGTATTGTCTGATCTTCTTGTGTAGGGATGCTGAATCAATGTTGAGTAGTTGCCCTCCGTCCTCGGCACATATATCTCTAGCTACACTCCATTCCTCACGTGTTGAATGGAAGAATTTAAAACAATCATTGGTTGTTGCATCACATGCTTCTGTAGGTGAAAACAGTAATAACCAAAACGTATTTACTGCCTTACGAATGCGCAACACATCTGTAGAACGATTTCCAATCACTATATTCAATACTACCAACTACAAACAGTTTTTTCAAATTTACATTTGTTACGAAGTTATAATAAAAAATCTTCGTAGTTGGTCATATCCTATGACGTATACGAGTAATTCACGATGTGTACATGTATTGGTGAATGAATCAGAATAAACTCACCGTCTCCCGCTTCGTTTGCCTGGAAATATAGAAGATAGAACACATAGCGTAATATGTGTTCAGGATGATCACTTCCGGGGTTGCATTAGAATTCTCTACACACATTGCTCTGGTTGATTTGAAACACGTGCAGTTTAATCTAACATTGTTTTCCGATGTATATATAAACAGGTCATTGATATCAATATGTAATGCTCATAGATTGCATTCAGTTTCAATTAAAGACCATCTTACTCACCTCAACCAGATCGTCCCCATTAACAGATGTGTGCCCCATGGCAAAGATCAGAATTACAAAGATGACGTTCATGGTGGTAATGACAGCTGTGAACCCTTACGGAGACAAATAAAATATGTACAACAACTCATGCGAATATCGAAAATCAGACAAATTATGGCGCTAATACAATCAAAACTAAGTAATAGTGTGACACCCAGTGATATGTAATAGTTACATCAATATAACTACGTGTCTAGTAATTGGCCAATTGTTTAATTTTGAAACGGATGTACATGGCACGAAGAATGTATCAGCGCAGAAATGAAATATACACATTGATATGTACAACCTTGGGTGTGAATTCGCCCTACTGAACAACACGCAATGCCTCACAAGGAAACAGCTTTTGGCCTTGTTCGTTCAGCAGGCGTCCACATCTACTAGATAGGAGTGTACGGCCGGAATGTCCCGTACATATAATATGCACAGGGAAACGCTCTGTATTTCGTAGCTATCTGGGAAGCTCCGATTAATAAATGACACTGGCAACTAAAATAATTACACATCCAAGGAGCCGAAAAGGTGTAAAAGGCACAATCATGATTTAAAATAGAAATCAAATCAACTGGTGTCGAATTACTGCAGCTTTTTCTAAATTGATTTCAAGATGAATCATCGGAATCCTTTTTAACCAATAATGTGATTAATATAATCAAAGCTCAAATTAACATGTGTAGATGATATATAATTTTAAAATGTGTATTTACTGAAATATGGCTGCATGGTGAATTTCTAAAGAGATCGTTAACTAAATTTGTTTTACTTACTTGTTTCGCTCTGAAGTGTGACTGACACTCGTTGTCTGTAATGCTCTTCTTTTATTACCGGTCATCTAGCCTGTTAAATTCATAGGTCGTCAACAAATTATTAACGACGTGTTATGCGATGAACCCCCAGCACTCGGTACATATAAGTTTCAATTTTCAACTCCATCTTGTGTGTGTGTGAATGAATGAAATGGTACGAATATGCTGACGTACTCGACATTATAACTATTGATAAAATGCAGCCATCTGCCATGACATGCAAGCGTATGGGTGAGTTAATTATTTGTGGTTCGTCGTTTCTGAATGGTTAAACGTTCTATTATTATCCTTTCTCGAGCTGCTGAATTGAAAATTTTGTTAAAATTTGTTTATGCTTATTCTTGCTCAGTGACATATACTGTCAGAATAATTCTGCTCTATGCCACAAACGCTTCGTGAAATTATTTGTAAATAGTTCCGAAGCATTATGTAAAAAATACAGATCACACATTTCTTCGATTGTCTCCCCTAACCGAAAAAGACAACGAGCTCCGAATTCAAATGATATAGATAACTGTCCTTGAAAGAGCATGGCTAACTGAATATCTATATTGCCTTCTGAGTGACCCTTGATACATTCATCTGAAGCGAAGCTGTGTGGATTATAGTACCACAGGGGTCACCGTATTATATACTAATTACCTTTGAAAACCCTAATTTATTTTACAAGGTTGGTTCTATGGAAATTAGCAGGTTGTAAAATTTAACATGGAATGACACTGTTCACACAATACAGATAAAAGACAAACAAGCGACCAGCGCCTTCAATGTGGCGAACTAATGTAAGAATGCTGAGATACTCAACTATCAATTAACTCTAAGCACGATTGAATTAATTATGGTAGTGAGATGAGTAATACCAGACTTTAATCGACCAATGAAGAAATCATGTCGATCATATAAAAAAATAGGTGATGTAACGTCACAATTTTCAAAACAATTCCCAGAGCTTCTGCTTCAGAATGCACGTTCATACTTACAGTTTAACGTTACTTTGTACAATTCTATTGTTCGTGTCATTTCAATTCGTCTCAGTGAATCGTGGATTTAAAAAAAAAATATGACAAAAATTGCAGGTAATATGGAAAGACAACATGTGACCTTTATTCATTCTGTATATATATATATATATATGCAACAAATGTTGGTGATTCTTACGTCACACACATATATTCGTGTGTAATTGTACCTTTTCGCATGTATATTTCTATTGTTAGTACTTATAAAAAATTCCATTCTTTTTAAATTAATAGATAGATATGTCAGTGCTTCATAATTTTTTTCTATAAGAGGTATCGGAAATATGAACTGCTTTCGCAGGGCGACTTGTAACATTACATTCTTGAAATGGGGCTGCCTAACTTTATGTGTTCCCGTTAAGATGAGGTCATCACCTAAAAATGCCGACGCTGCAACCGATTCACCTCTAACATATTTGTAATAGACGTACTTGGGAAACATGTGCCTGACGTATGGTCGCTGAACATTTACGTTGTATCAAACAAAAGCTACAGAATAGCACCTCTAGCGTTCATTTGTGGTTTTCATTCTAAACACTTTGATAAATTATCTTTCTAATATGCTTATTTATAGCCTATTTATTCGTTATCATATTTATGCTAATTAATATCAGCATACATGGTGCAATATCAAACTGACGATGACGGCGAACAAGTGTTTTGGTAGTTAGCCAGTAGTTACGTGCCAAATCAGAAATACTATTAAGCCTGACGAGGAAAAAGTTGGAAATAAATGTGTATTGCATATATTGTTACAGTTTATGACTCAAAACACTATTCAAAGTTGAAGTATTTTCAGTCCGTTGACAAAAACCGATTGCCTTATCATTGAACAACATTCTGCATGCCCGTAGTTAGGGGGCTTTGGGGAGTTCAGAAGCGCGCTCGAAGGTCCGTTTTTTAATGCACAATATTTTTCTAAAGGCGGAGTAATTAAAATCTGGAGGCCATTTCATAACGGATATACTCAACCTTTCGTTTTCATCTAATAAAATATTGTCTGAAGCAGTTATGTGAGTGTCTCTGATTTTTCCTTTGAAATCTTCTAAAAAAACGCAGGAAATGCCATTTCAGACAGCAAAAGTAAAAATATCCCTCTAAGCAAAATCTAGGCTACGGACGTGTTCTGAAGATGCTTTTTAATGATTAAGCATTCTCGCTTCCATAATTTGTGACACAAACAAACAAAATGGCGCCACCCATTGGCCAAAAGTGCAGCGTTTTCAAACTTTTAGGGTATAAAGATTTCTTCCAAACCAAGACTTCAATTCTTCCTAAAGAGCTCACTTCACTTTCGGCTATTGACGTATGAACATTTTTGTTCGACATATTTGATTCTCCCAAACAAGTAGTTTTTTTTTACTGTTGTCTTAGTTATGCCATTTCTTTGAAATATGTCATGTTGCATCTCTCAACTGAAAATCTTCAGGAAGGGGAAAACGAGTTTAAATTAGTCATGTGATTATTTCGACACCATCTATACTTTTCCAGTAACAATTACCAAACGTTTGGGCATTTGTTTTTCATGAATGCTTCAAATGATCAACTTAATATTTTGTATGTATGGCCGCAGCTTCTCAAGGGAAAAATGAAACAATTTCGATTGGTTGGTTTGGTCGCTATTTTGGTTTTCTCGCAAAATGACCACAATTTTGGGCATTTATTTCCCATTAGTGCTTCAACCAATCAACTAGATATTTTGTATAAAATGTTTATGGCTAAAGCTTCTGAAAATAAAATAAAATAGTTTTGGTCGGTCACCTGGTTTGGCAGACCGTAATTTGGTGTATTTCTTTCTCATGAATATTTACCCCGTAAACTTGATATTTAGCATATAAAATATGTCAGACCAAAGCTTCTCCAGGGAAAAATAAAATACTAACTGATAGACTTGATATTTTGTATATAGCATGTATGGCTGAAGCTTATTATGAAAAGGAAAAGATCTGTCACATTGTTTTGCCGCCATCTTGGATTTTCAGCAAAAATGGGCACAATTTGGAGCATGTGTGTCTCATGAATGTTTCAACCAATCTACTGGCTGTTTTGCGTGGAGCAGACGGCGGAGGAGGTTGCGTCGTCTCCAGACTTGTGTGCTCATCTAAAAGTGTACGAACTAGTCGAAGCTAGAGATGTCAATCAGGAAATTATGGAATTTGTATATGTTTCTTGTATATTAAATTTACATATCTTATGCAATCGTTTGCAAGAGTGTGTCGGCGTCACTGATACTGGAAATGTATATATATCCATTCTAACATTATATAATACATGACACTGCTACATTGATTTAAAAGATAATATTGATTTGTGAATTGTATTATATCTTCATTGTGGTAGATTTATATGCATTGTGTGTTGGGTTGCGACGACCCAGTGAAGATAGATTCAAAAGTTCGAACGTAACAGATTAAACATATACGAAGTAGACTCCCCATAATCTCGTAAGCATTATTGCGTAGCTGTCGAGTGAGAGAGTCACATCTCTTCTCAAAACATTTTTAATAACTGTCACTTATTGTGAGGTAGCTCACTGTAGCATGTACCACTAGTGGGTTATTTGTTCGTGAATACAGTGTTTATAGGTTTTGAAACGATTTAAAATGTGATTGTGTCACACTGTTCCGAGTGCGTGGAAGAACTTAATAAGCTGACCATTAGTGTTGATTGATCGGACCTTCGAACTGTAATCGTATACTAAATATAATTACAACCATTTTTTCTGCGTTGTGGAGACATAAACAGTTATCCCACGTGCCTGAGAACAATGTGTCAATATGACAAATTTGTTCCGCAATGTGTAGCAAATAATAACAATATTCGTTTTCGTACACAGTTCAGTTTGATTTCACTGTAATATTTACTAAGCCATGTAAAACTATTATTATATAACACACACCATCTTTAGCTTTTTCGCAGTGTAAACAATGCGTACTGGTCCCTGATACCGTAAGTTCAAGTAGGCCGACGCAAAAGTGCCACAAACAGATAGTTATCCGTTTTTGATGAGAAGCAGAAATAAATGAGCAAATTCCTGACGGGTGATTGTTGGACATATTTACCAATCTCAACTACAGTGAGTTTAAACATATTAATAAAACATGTAAATAGTGTTTTTTTTTATTTCAGTGGTCTTTTCTACCCCTTCCTGTATAATTCATTGTTCTTCTTGACAACCTTTGCTACCTATTTACACAATGGCATAACCCGCATATTAATGATTCTTATCAGTCAATTTACTTGGTTAAACTGTATAACGTGATTATTGTCACCGCCAATTGCCAGCTCTGTATATATTATATATAGACAATATATAACCGATGTTACGAACGACCCCAATAAATAATTGAGTAAGATAGTAGCAGTAATTACTCACACACAAAAAACACAAACTCATGTATAATTATACTTGGGATAATTTTAATGTTCTGCTAAAATACAATTCATTATTACAACGTAGTCACATGATTGATATGTTTGCAGAATATGTCCGCAAAAAAGTTATTTTTTATCCGTTGATTTCGATTAAACCATATCCTGAAAACAATAAGACCGTAAGAAACACGAGTTATATAAAAGTCGTTTCCATACTTAAATACGATTTTCATTCACAAGCTTAATACACAAGTCGAAATAACAATTTTAAATATTGCAATTTTTGCTTAATGGTTTATTTTGCTATACCATGCTGACATAAGGCCACAGCATAATAGAAATAATATAGAAAACAATTCGCAGTAAAATAGACTTGATTTATTGGTAGTCAACCTTATACGGACTATTGTATTACGATGGTAACTGAGTAAGATAACAATATTGCATTACAATACACTGTTCACCAGCCAGATAATGTGTACAATAGAATAATGTACAAATTTTATTTTACAACATGATCAAATTAATGCGGAAGATGCGATTACTGTTCATATCGGGAATGCATTTGACGCTAAAATTGAACATATTATAAATATTATAATAATCAACATAGTAGTATTAGTTGGCTCACCATTTAATCCACACATAAATACATCTGAGCATAGGTACATGGTGTGTCATCCAATTTCCATTTCTTGTTATGGTACCTGTGAATGGAAATAACGAAAATAAGCACGATGCTCATATAAGCTAAGGTACCGGAACAAATAGCCAGATTGTTTGCCTTGTCCCGCACTCCGTAGTAAGTATCAACATGAAATAAGAATTCATGCTAGATACAATGTTAAAAGTGGAAATATACAAATCATAGAATCTTATGGAGAAACATGAGCAATTTAGCTGGTAGTACGACCATGTAGTTTTAGTAAGTGCGTTCATGTCGGCTATCGTTTCAAAGGTCTCATTCGCTAAAATGGTAGAATAGAAGCCAGGGAACGCCATGGAGCTTTGATTACGTTGGAAAAGAACAGAATAGCAAACCACGATGGTGACCAAGAGTTATGGGATTTAGCAAGTGGTTATGACAAAAATCTGGCAACGTTCCTAATCGAGACGATAATTACTCTGACGAGGAAACAGCTGAAAATCAACTATCGTAGTAGAACACCTACCAACAACAACAAGCATCCATGACCGATTGTGCTTTATGGTCGTATTTTGAAATAAAAATCTTAGCAATCGATTGTTTTCATTCACAATTGACACTCAATTATTCGAATTAATTCATACCAATGTAAAAAGGTAAATAAAAGTTCGGTTTCATAGCACTTTTCAGTGTAATTCTTTTCGCGCAGTACAGCAGGATACACCTAATGACTTAAAAAAAAAACGTATCACCCGTGACCTTAGATAAAATAGTGCCGCAATAATGCACACTTTGAATATTTAAGTACTTAATATCCTGAATGCGCCTGTCACGATAATAACTGAGTGTCATATATAAAAGTGAAATGCTATAAAATTCTACGACGTGTTTACAAACGTCAATAATTGCCAAGTCACGATTGCGTTATATATTAATCCGCGCCTCACAGCTTTCATGCCAGAAGTCAGTCGTATGAGTTCATTCAATCCTTATTTACGCTTTATTGAAGCTGTTGCATTATGATAAAGGGAGGTAATTTGCTGCAAACAAGAAAATATCGCGTTATATATCTCGTTTCCTTATTCTCACTCCTACAATGCAAGAATTCGTGAGAACACCGAACATAAATCATGTGGCATTTTTCTGTTGGCGGCGAATAGCCTCTTTATATTAAATACTGCCAAATATGAAATGTGCGCCCCATGTTTACTTCGTCACAATCACAAAATAAAAGTCTCACTCACCACAAATGGAGGCAGCCACCGCTTCCATTTGGCTCATTAGCATGAAACAGTGAATGATCAACAGCCATCGATGTGCCATCACTGAAGGTAATTGTACTGCCAGCTATAGTACCATCAACCCAGAAATTGACATAATCTTCATTCGCGAAAAGCGCATTCACTGCCAAGTCCAAACTGGAGTGATCGAATACTTTGTATGGTGATGAACACTGGGTACTTCCAGGAAGCTCTTTCTCCGTACTTATTACAATCCCAACTGTAAGAAATATTGTTATAAGTATCCTACCATCTCATACGCTTTCGTTATATATGTAACTTCACATATATCACAAGTTACTTAAAATAGGTAAGGGTTCATCTGTACTTCAAAAGAATTATCGAGATCATTTCTGTACGAAAATGAAAATAAAACCATAAAACTGATTCATTTCAATAGAAATAACATAAATGGTATGGTATGTAATTGAAGTAGTTTACTTTACCAGGGACAGATACATTAAGTTGTCCAATGGACAGGAAACACATTTTTAATTTCAACCTCTGGTTAGTCAGTAAAATAACTTACTGGTGTGAATAGCAACTTATTTATTAAACTACAATTACAATAGTATGCCTCTCTTACCTAATTCTGTTATTGGGACTGAAAAATAAATAGAAAAAAACATGTTGAATACAAAGAACACTTATTTGTTTAAACAGTAACAAATAATTCATTACTTAATATCAAGCGATAAAAAAGATATAATATTGAGTTGGTTTACAATTGCTGTACAATATAAGATGTTAATATTTTTAAATCTTGTTCAATTTAGTTCTGTGTATGGTATAATCGCCTACAATATAGAATACTTAACACGTTACCATTGTGGGGTTACAACTGAATTTGCGATAAAAACTATGACAATAACTATCGAAAAGAATACTATATTCCATATCTAATCAAGTAATAAACATGATAAATGTCTGTAAAAAGTGCACATAATTCTAGTTTCACTTAACCCGAACATAGGAACATCTGAGCATAGGTACATGGCGTATCATCTAATTTCCATTCACTGTTATGGAACCTGTGAAATGAAAGACACATGTCGTGTTTGTTGAAATGTAATGAGAAGTATTCACTGGCTGTTGCAAGTGTGGAACATTCCATAGTTGATGGATTGAATCACGGTATAAATTGCAACGGGACTACCTTACTTTAATAAGGTTAATCTACAAAATAAATCGGACGCAAAGTCGCACAGTATAGTCGACTCACCACAAATGAAGGCAGCCACCACTTCCGTTGGGCTCATTAGCATGAAACAGTGAATGGTCAACAGCCATCGACGTGCCATCACTGAAGGTGATTGTACTGCCAGCAATAGTGCCATCTACCCAGAAATTAACATACACTTCGTTAGCGATAAGCGCGTTTAATGCCAAGTCCAAACTAGCATAATTGAAAACTTTGTAATGTGATGCACATTGAGTGGTGCCAGGTAGTGCTTTAAAGGTGCTGATCACGGGTCCATCTGTAAGAAAATCAAATATTTACATGAGAATCTCGCCTTGCTTAAACGTTGTGTTATAGTCTAGAGTTGATAACAAATAGACAGACGGCATGACTAGGCCAGGAACAATAATTGCATTAAATTAAGTATACATATTATTCACATTTCCTAATTTGCATATTTTTTTGCGAATATATATCAAATTATTGTCATTGTATACCATCTAATCTAATCAGTGAATAGTTTGTTTGACTACTTCTAGGAAGTGCTTTTTCTGGCCCAGCTGTGAAAAAGGAAGTAAACAAAACTGTGATTCAGAAGTTTGTATTGCAAAAACGTGATGTTAAGTTAACAACAAGTCGGTGGAAATATCATAGATCTTCGAATGACTACTGTAATTAAATACTTAACATAAATACCTGTCGCAAAATGATAAATTCAGCGAATTAGATACATATAACGTGCACCTTACATAAGATGTTATTTTTTTAAATATATATAATGTCATTGGTATTCGATACCAGATTTAGGAATGTCAAACATTTGAGAATAAAATTAAAAAAAGATACACTTAAATATGTCTGTTGATTGAATGTTGTTTTCATCAAATTTAACAAAAAATGCGATTTAAATTCCTAGTATATTTGTTACAATGCTAACAATACGTCCCTATAAATAAAATTTCAATATTTAAATTAGTACTTATACATAAGATACACATTCTCACCAGATTGGATTGGTGTGGGTAAAGCGGTTGTAGCGATTGGTGTAGCTGCTGTTATCTTTTTGACTGAAAGCAAAATGAATATATGTTAAATGAAGCACAACATATATTTTCGTTACCATTTTTATAAATAACTTATAAAATATTAAATAAAGAATGATTGACAAATAGAATATGAAATACGAAGTTGACCACAACAAGAATCAATTCATAGTCGATTTGATAAGTGTTTACCGGTAGTATTTACAGACGACACCGGTCAAAAAGTGTCTCCCATTGCTAGTATGGCTTTGCACAAGAACACTAAAATGCAATGAATAACTGATACAGTTACGTACTTTATTGAACTACACTGTAACACATTGTACAAACCGACTAAAAAAGACATATTGACCTCGGAGTTCGTTTGTTCGGAGTTCGACAAAAAAGTAAGTCATTTTAATATTTATCAAAATGATTGTAAATCAGGCAGTGAATTAGATACGGCAGTGGAAATGCATCATCTGGTGTATAAAGTAAATGCAATTTGAAATCAGTTCTTAGGAATTGCCAATAGTGTCAAACACCTGACAATATGATGTTTAGCGGCACCGACAAATAAGTAAATGCTTACCTCCATACACATCCCTGTAGTCTATACATTCATCACAATCACAGTGAGCTGGTGAATCACCGCATTCCTTCGAAGGAGAGCAGCAAGGTGTGGTATTATAAGGATCACATTCAGCTGGGTTGACCCCGTTCGTTCCTCGGTAAAGTGGACCACAATGGCCGTCCGCTCGCCACGAAACGCGGTCATCAGCCACATTAATAGTCGCTTGAAGTATTTCTAACGGTGCAGTGTCAGACGCAGTATTCAGAGATTCTCGCACATCGGTTGTTGTTGTAGTAGTAGTCTGGTCAAAATGCACAACAGCATCGACGCCTATGCTACCAGGATAAAAACCAAGGATTTCAATACCATAGTAATCTGCGCTTTCTATACCAAGGACTGAGTTGATCTGTGAGTATGAAATCATTTCCACATGAGTAAGAAGAAAAACAATTGTTAACGTTTACAGTTACTGACATTTATTTCAATTACGAGAATACCAAATATCTTGTGCCGAATAAAACTCGTGGTCAACCTAAACTCGTCTCTACTGGTTAGCACTCTCGCCTCTAATCTTCTCATGATGTTTTACAGCAACAACAACAATAACAACTACTCTGCGAATACTGAAAACGCTCTAGGAAAGTGTAAATATGTAAATTACTCTACCCACGATTTGCATGGCCAATACATACCCAATCACTAACCAACTCCGAGAGTGTGAGATATTCATTCGATGCTGGATCGACATAAACATCACTGTAGGTGGCCGTGACTCCATTTACTGACGTGAACACGAAAGTAACAAAGTACGATGTTGATGCTGATGAAGGCAAACAATAACAGAAACAGTATACTTTAGGTAACTATTACTGTAACAGTATATGATATTGGATTTGTTTGTATGTGACGCACTATACAACCCCACCCGAAACACACCTACTTACGTTTGCATTCTCCATCGTGTTCATAAAATCCACTTTCGCAGGTTAGAGCTAAAACAAGTATAACAACAACATATTCAATTGAAATAAAATACAAAACAATGGATCAGTATCGAAAGTCAACGGGAAAATACATGCCCATAAACAAATACTACCACAACCAAACTACGTCAAACAGTTCTTTAAATACATGATACGGTTCACAACCAAGGTGGTATAACGTGTTTCGCAACAAGTACGAACATTCAGCTCTGCATTTGGCCCCCGTCGTACATCATTATCATTATTTGGCCCCCAAGTCGTCAATGAAAACTTTCTATTTGGAAACCTGATGCCCCTAAGATCAAATTGTGTTTGAGTTTCTATCATATTTAAACATAAGCTCCTTATATCTATCAAAAGCCTCTGAATACCCCATCAACGTTGGTACCACATTACTGCCTATTATACAAATATACGATTGGAGTGACTATTGGTTTCTATAATAGACAAAACTCACCAACATATTCGCAAATAAACGATTTCGGTTTCCAACAATAGTCATCGTCAAATCTCCACGCTGGATTTTTTGTCGGACGCTTCCTGGAAAACAAAAACAAATATGACTTTTAAAATATAACTAACATTTTCGGCGTGTTAAACATGACTAGAACAATGTTTTAACATTAGTTGAAAACTCACCATATCTGAACACAGTCTTGTCCATCAGTGTCCTGTTTAACTGTGTTGCTAGGTTGTTTTACTATTCGATTTCCGCGTTTTTCGGAATGCCATCCATCGTCGTATGTGAACGGAGTACATTCATTTAGTTGAAATTTACCTTCTTCCTCTATATCATTTGCACCCGTCCAGTAACCTTTGCCCTTTGGACTCTGAATACCCGGATGTAGGTTGATGTATTGTCTGATCTTTTTGTGAAGGATTAATGAATCGATGACGAGTAGTTGTCCTCCGTCCTCGGCACATATATCTCTAGCTACACTCCACTCCTCCCGAGATGCATGGAAGAACTTAAAACAGACATTACCTGTGACATCACACGCTTCTAATTGGTAAAACACAAATACAAACATAATTAGTGTGGAATTTTGTTCTTTGTTTTATTTGTTCAACTAAACAGTACTTGAAATGAGGTTCATCTTTAAAACGTTCTCATTTATAACTTTATATTCAATTATTTAATGCATATCATGGCGGTGTCAGTCTTGTCTTTCGAGTTTCAGATATAGAACACAATAATCAAAATCGGGACAATGTTACTAGTAAATTCTACAACTGTCGCAATTTTGACATATTGTGAAGACCACAATACTATGTCTTCAAAATACATTTGAAGCAGACAAAATAGTTAGTAGATGCACATGGTCAACACATGGTTATTTGCATAACCGTTGCTATGAGACGCTTTTAATGCCGACATGAATTGTTGCAGAATATTTTAAAATTTAATATCTTGATCTAGATGTGCACTTCTTGTGATCCTTCGTACCAAAAATCACCTATAAAGAGAATTATAATTTACTTACCGTCTCCAGCTTCATTTGCCTAGAAATAAAGAACTCGTAAATATATATTAAGTATTAAGTAATATGACTATAACGCAAGAAATTCATTTCAGGGGAAGGGTTTTACTAGAACATTTTGCATATGCGATATTTTAAATTCACATTATTTTCAATAAAATCGTTAAGCTAACTGAATCATATGAGACACCATTATGCAACCCCGTATTTATGGGGAATGTTAACCGATATACGACATTGTGAATGTCTTCTGACTTGCAAACGGGTATTTAATTGAACACATTCTGTGAGTCACATTACTTTCATTTATATGGAATATACTTTGCAACTTTGCTAGTCATGGAAAGAGAGAGAGTTCTTCTTCAATCATTGAAAATATTATCGTCAGCGGAATTCACATGTAATCAAGAACATTACGTAGAATCTTTCACATTAGAGCAATTTTAGAGTAATCAGAGATATTCTGCAGACACACGTATTTGAATGATGCTTTCAATTAAAAGACGTTCAAAATATACTTTGGTACAATCATAACCATACACGTATACATGTAGCGTACACGACTCACTTTAAACACTATTTCATCAATACTGGACTCACCTCAAGCAGATCATCAGCATGAACACGTGTACAAATCAGGACAGCAGCGACCACCAAGGCAATGATGGCATTCATGATAGCAATATCAGAATTCTAATCCCTGGAGGGATAAAGGAATAAGTTTTATTGGGTATTTGGTGGTACCAGAATAGTTCGATTTAGGACAAGCACATAGAATTCTCTCAGATAATAACTATGTGGTTCACCTTGTCACACGTATTCAATGATAATTATATGTAGCGTCAGGTTAAATCCTGTGTGTTGCGTTTTGGTTGATGGGTTAAAGTTACAAAAAAATTAATGAAATTGAATGTATTAATACGGTGCTTGAAACACATATATAACAAAGAACGATATTTAACATATAACTCGAACCATGAAGAGGAAACGCTCCCTATTTCCCGCTTCTCAAATGCACTGCCAACACAGTTTAAAATTTCATACAAGTAATACGCAACAATCAACTGACAACATTTACCTTTGACAAAATTTACCGATTTCGTTCCGTTGTAAGACAGTTTAAGCTTGCTGTTGGTTGTATTCACGTGTTCTTGCTTTCCTTTTTTATATGTCACCTCAGAATGTAGATAAAAGAATCAATTATTTGCTGGCCAAAGTACATTTTAACTCTCAAGACATCGTTTTCGTTTGTGAACATTAATTGAATTTGATCGAACATGCGGACAAACTGTAGTTCAATACCACTGACTAACATCAGCCAGCTGTCGTGACATACACACGCATGGTAAATTTAATTACTTTTAATTCTTCTCATGTAAATAGTTAAACGATCATTATCAGATATTTTTTTTTCTGATCTGGATATTTTAGTTAACTTATAACTTAATTAAGTGTAGCCATATGTGACTCTCCACATGTCAAATAATTATTTAGTTAATTGCAATAGCAAGGGCTTTTTAGATGGTGTGTTTTAATGTATTTTGTGGTCATGTGTTCATTTCCAATTTTCAAAAGCAGTATTTATCCAAGTGTAGTGTAACAACGGCCCAAGTGGCTGTCAAATATGCCATGTCCACCCTCCTTCTCTTCCCATTCCTCTTTCCCTACTACTGTTACTGGTCAACCCCTTACTTGATGCAACTATGTACATTAATGAATTCATGAATTAATTACATCCGAAATTGAGTATTTTTAATTACTATTTGATACTTCTAGGAGTTTTTTATGTCTGTGCATAGTAAAACTAAAATTCCCCAAAAATCAAGCGAAATATTGTTCAAAATCTATAACAAATTAAATTAAAAGATTCAGTGGAAATATTATAAAATAAATTAAATAGAGATAGAATGTGTATTTTTGTATATAGAAAACTTATATAATGATGTGAGGTCTGCATTTTTTTTCATATTTTATTTGTGAAAAACTGGTGTTTTCAAGACTGCAAACAATGAAACACTAGGCAAGTCTCATATGTATCTTTTCTTGCTTGATTGTGAAAAGACATGATTCAGCGACTAACCCTTATTTCTTTCAAATATTAAAATTTCTTTTATTTAGGAAGGTTCTTCTGCATAAATAGAACAGATGTAATCAATTAATTTTCATATTTTATTTTAATTTGAAGACTAGATTAATTTACTAGCTGGAAAAATGTATTTCAAAGAAATTATCTTGCGACTAGTCTGGTAGCGCAATTGGCGCAAGTTA